AAAAAAAAAAAAAAAAGTCTTGTGCACTATAAATTGCTTTTAGACAGTCAAAATATATTTATTATTTAATTAATTATTTTAAGGTATATTACTTTTCTCTTCCTATACTTCTCACTCATTGCTTAATTTTATAGCAACTGACTTTTCTCAAGGCCACTTTGCAAAAATTTTCTGATGTTAAGCACTGATGTTTCCTCAAACATCGAAAGTCTTATTCCAGTTAAGCATTTTATTTAGCATCTACAAGTGCAGTGTACTGACCCTTGTTGGCCAGCAAGGGGCGGTAGGTAGCAAGGTTTTTTGGTTTTGTTTCAAATTTAACCAAAGCCTGATTAATATTACTTAACATTTATTGAGCACTTATTAAACGCCAGACACTAGTCTTAACGCTTATATACAACAGCTCATTTAATCCTGAAAACAGCCCTATGCAGAAAGTTCTGGTATTATTCTCATTTTACAGGTAAGGAAACTGAGGTGCAGTAGGTTAACTAACCTTCCCAGGTTGTAGTTAGCAATGACTGAAGCAGAAGTTCACAGCCAAGCAGTCTGATTCTAGAGTCATTACTGGGTGCTGCTTCCCCGATTTCTCAAATTGTTGAACCCTAGGGGTCTAGACATAACTGGTTATTGTCAGGGAGGAGAGAATTTACTCCCTACCCACCCTTCTTTAGTTTTTCTGGCTAGACTAATAGTAAAATAATCAAATTGACACAAGACTTAAATTAATAGGAGAAACATCAATTTAATACAAGCGCATGGGAGAATCATAATATGATGCTCAGAATATAATACGAGGCCCAAAGAAGTTACTGAACCAGGCACCTTTTAATGCCTTTTAGACAAAGAAACAATAAATTTGTGAAAAACCAACAGGACAGAGAAAGTTAGTGCTCATTAGAAAGGGATCCGAGCAAGGTTTGGTTATTCATAAGTGAGAAATCTAAGCAAAGAAAATTAGCAAAGGCGGTACAGGGCTTGTCGACACAAGCTTTTGACTCTGGATGCTTTTAGCTCTCACAGTAAAGTGTCTCTCTGCCTCTGGAGCAGGAAGGGCACTTATCAAAAAATAAATTTTTCTCTTTTGAGGCAGAAGGGTCAGGGTTTTCTACTTGCAAGGGCAGTTTCTTAAGTAACTGTAATTCAAAATAATCAATATGCCATGGTGGGATATCTTGGGGATGCCTGCCCTTGGACCGCCACTTTTAAGTACAACCTCTATATTATATATAAAGGTATAATAAAATGGTAATTCTAGCTTTCAATCACTTGATGATAATGACGTGAAATTTTTTCCAAATGCCATCTTTTAAATCCAGTGGTCTTTAAAGTTTTTGATTGTATCATTAAAAAATTGTGAGCACACACCCAGTGTGTGTGTATATATATATATGTATATCTATAATGCATCATATATTATCCACAAAATAGAATTTAAAAACAACTATTTTAACTGTCACATTACTTGTGAGAGTATCATTCAATCATTGGCCAGTCTCAAGGAAAATATACACATAGGGGCCAAGTTAATTATAAATAATTGTGGATGGAAATCTATATTTCAAATAGTCCTCCTGCAGATTTCCATGTTTCGGCTAACTTCGTGAGGTCTTGTTAGTTCACGGTTATTTTTATCTTGCTGTAGAGCCCGTGTCCGAAGTCAGGAATGTCACCTCCGTCCCTTTCTTTTATCTTTTCTTGTGCTTGCCATTTTAGTAAGATGCACAGTCTCGTTCTTTGAAGAAATCTTTTTTTGGTAAGAATTAGTTCTCTGTAAACTCACTTCATCAAGCACAGATAAAGTAAGTCACAAAACACAGAATGAATAAAGGCCAGTGCCACCTGTCCCCCCACCCCCAGGACACCTCCCATCTCTTACGAGACAGATGATGACTGACTGACTGAGGATTCTAGTGTCAGAGTAAAACAAAATTACATTAGTACGTAACTATATTTACTAAAGATAGTAAGGGCAAAGTATAGTAAAGCAAACTTCTTTCTAATATTTTAGATTAGAAGTAAATAAAAATAGAATTTTAATTGTTTTCATACCTCAGTGGATCAGCTTGCTCATCCACTTTGAATACCATTGTTGTAATCGATTTTAGCCTTATCATTTTTAAAAGAACAAGGTGAAACATTTGCACATTAGGCAGGTTCGAAGAGCTGTTTCGTTAGGAGGCAGTGTGTCTGCTGAGGAAAGCTTGCTGGCTGCTTAGCTAGGCCATTCGGGGCAGTAGTACTTCAGTGGGGCAGATGAGGACTAGGTCTCATGAGTCTGTCTCTTAGCTGTGTAGGCTGAGAAATTCCATCTTGGCTCTGGGAGCAGATTTACACTAATCGACCTCGTAAGAGATGGATGTATGCATCAGAATGCCAATTTGTTGATGTCCAATGAGAACTGTAACAGGTAAGCCAGATACTTGTGTTCATTGATCAATGCATTTTCTCCCACTAGGAAAATTATATCCACGTGAGAAACCTTCAGGCATGAGCTTAGCATGTTTGAGGAACAGCAGATGGGTAGGTGGTTGAAATGGAAGGAATAAGAGGAGGAGTGGTAGGAGATGAGGTCAATAGATAGGCAAGAAGCAGCTCATGCAGCACCTGAAGGCCGTATTAAGGAGTCTGGATATATTCTAAGAGATCAGAAGCTCTTGGGGTGTTTATAGGCAGCGATTTGATCTGAATTACTTTTCAATAAGATAATCCTGGATGCTGAGTAGAGAATCACTTTTAAGGAGATAAAAATGATAGTTAAGAGACAAGTGAAGAAGTTATTGCAGAAGTTTTGACAAGAGTGGATGGTGGCTTTGGACTAGGGCTGTGAGAGTGAAGCTGGAGAGAAGGGGACTGGTTTGGGTGCTTTTTTATGGGAGAGAAGACAAGACTTGCTGAGGGATTGGAGGTGTGAGTCCATGCTTACCAAACGACCTTCCAGTTGTAATTTGTCTTAGTAGATTTTCCTTGTGGAAAAGGAAGCACTGATCAGGGAACACAGGAGTCTGATTTTCCTGCTAATTCTAGTTTTCTTCTCTGAGAATTTGAACTTGATCTGAGAAGGTTAGGTTCCTTGGGTGCCTAGAATGTAGCTTGTAACACTCTAAGCTGGTCTCAGCCACATTTACACAGATGGAATCAGTAGAGGAGGAAGGTGATCTTAGTGACAGAGAAGAAGAAAGCAGACCACAGCCAGAGGAGAGAAGGGAGGTAGAGAA